CCGCCGCCCCCGGGCAGGCCTGGAGCCACTTCCCCGGGGGTGCCCGGCGCCTTCGGAACGGGTGTTGGGTGGGAGAGGCTGTCCTCCATCCGTCCGTCCATCCATCCCCAAAGCCGCCCGCTCGCTGAGCTGCCCAGGCGGTACCCGGAGCTGAGGCATCACCCGGGGTTAGCGCTGCTAACTCTTCCTGAGAAAAGTGGGCTCTTTTTTCAGTTTTCCTCTTTTTTTTTTTTTTGTTTGCTTTGCCTTTTTATTTATTTTTTTTTTTTTTTCCCTAGTGCCTAGTTAGGACACTTATCTGCAGTTTTGCTTTATTGCTTTTGCCGGCTTCCCTTGTCTCAGGGGCTTAGGTAGCACAGTTCAAAGGGAGACAGTGCGATGGTTGTGAAGCACTGGCAAAAGTCTCTGGAAAACGTTTGTTGGCAAGCTAAGAGGGCACCCAGTTTTCTCAGGATGGGATTTCTTTCTCTTCTTTTTGGGACGATGGGTGAAAAAGCTCAGAATTTCACTTTCTGGACTTGTCTAAACCAGCTTTTTCCTGCCTCCACACAGTTGTGTTTAATTAAATGTGCCTAATTTAAGCACAAGGGCTGCTAAACAATAGTCTGTAACATGTGTAGCACAAACCCGTATTTCCTCCCTCCAAAAAAACAACAAAGAAGACAACTTTGGGAGTTTCCTTTCTACTGGGTGCTTATGATTATTTTTTTTTTTCTGAATATGTAAAGCTGAGCTCTCAGCTGGTGTCAATTGCTGCTGCTCCGCTGAAGTGTGATTTTGCTGAATTGCAGCAGTGGAGGACCTGGCTGTGGCCCAAGACCCTTGCTTTCAAAATGTACCCCCAAATAACAACTGTTGAGAGAACATTGAGTTTGTCCGGCGAGGCACTTCAAACACAGATAATACTTCCCTTTCAGGAAGACATGCAATCTTAACTATTCCTGCTCCCTACCAGTGTGTTTTGACTGAATAATAATTTCCCATTGTCCAATGATACAATACCGTGAGATTCTTACTTTCTGGCAGCTTCTCTGTTTCTTCATACAAGGTGCTTTACCTCGTTCCTCTTCGTTACTTCCCAGTAAGTCTCTTTTAACAACATGTATGTGGCAGAAGTCTTGTTCTCTCTTGCTTTGTGCTTGCAAACCTGATCAGTGGAGGACAGTAAGAATGGTAGCAGATGAGCTTTGGCATTGGTGCGTACAGTCTCTGCGTTAGAGAGCATTCACGGTGCTCAGGTTGCTTCATTAACCAGAGTGCTACAAGATCATCAAGTCTGGTTCAGGCTGGAGCCTGCAATTCAAATTCCTTGGAATTGGCCAGAAAATACGTTAGATGATAGTTTCTCCTGACTTGAATGCTAGCTGGGGGAATAAAGGGTAGCTGATCTGGTAGGAAGGATGCTAGTATGAAGGTAACCTGTCAGTGTTTTAGAAAAAAACTTCAACTTTAGTGAGTATCTGCTACAGTGGCCGTGGTGGTTTTGATATGGGAATAAAAGCCCTAAACCCAGTTTTATGGCAGCAATAGCCTCAGGTTTTTCCAGACAGGTCAATTGAATAAAACCCTTGGTTTAGGGACCTCTAATTCTGTCCAGTTCACTCTCCATGGGAATGTGACAAGACATGCATTTCTAGAGGGACGTTCTTCTGCTGAGCTGTGCCTTTCTGAAGGCTCTCCATACCCACTTGTAGTGCCTTTGCGGAGGAAGCTGAGATAGTACAACCCTAAAAGCAGCTGTAGGAAAAGTTTGTATCAACTGTATTTTGCAGAGATCAAAGGCTTTGTGTATATCTGAGACATCTGTGTAAATTTGGCCCTACCTCAGTGGTATTTGTAGTTACAGCAAGACAATACTACAGAAAAATCTTCGTAAATCTCCATTCATTTTTACGGAAACCCTGTATGTATTTGTATTTCACTCTCTGGTCTGCCAGATGGTTGTCTCAAATAACTTTCTCCCTTCCCAGGTAAGTGGACTAACCCTTGGTTAAGACCAGAACTGTAAATCTTTGGCATAAAGGTGAAACTTGGGGGAGTTTGAAGGGTTTCCACATTTTTTTAATTTTTTTTTTTTAAGGATGGGAACTGTTGTAAAAACCTGCTTTTTCTGAAACTTGATTTACAACTCCTCAGTGAAGAGAGTTGAACAAACATTATGATGTCTTACATACCTATAGCTTAGAAATTCTTTTAAGCCTTGATCTGTTGTTCACAAACTTCTAAGTTCCAAACACTTTTAATAAGGTGAAATATTTTAGAAGAGCTTCATCCAAAGCCATGGATATCTCTGCCCATTAGTTTCAATGCTATAGGTATATATAGGAATAAAAATGGGATTGAGTTGTGCGGCTTCATCAGTGCTTTAATATGGCAAAGCTTTCCAGAAACAAAATCATGGGTTCCTCCATGCTTACAGTCTTCAGCGAACAGACAGCTGTTGCAGCAAGTGTAGGGGTGTTAAAAGCCTGATGTGAAATATGATATTTGCATTTCAACTTCCCTTTCCCTAAATTTCTCAACTGCTTCAGCTGAATAGGTGTACAAAATGGGCCAGAATTTGTGCACTGTTGGGTTTTTTTTTTTTTCAGAACTGCAGAAGCTTTCAGGCTTCAGCGGTTTCGATCTGTTCTCATCTGTAAAGCAACACGCATTCCAGTAGCGTTGTGCAGATGAGCGCATTAAGAGCGAATGTTGGCATCCTGGGTGAGCGAGATGACTCTGTGGAGCCGTATCAGATCCTGTGTGTGTGTGTAGAGCAATGCTATCTACTTCAGAAATCTACTGCGGGCATTTCTGTCACTTCATTACTGTAGTAAAACATCATCACTAAGGGAAAAAAAAATAAAAATCCACTCTATGGCTCCAGTTAGGCAAGAGCTGTGATTATGTCAGTAACGCCAGTAAGCAAATGGGGGTGGATGGCTTCGAGTCGGTGATAATATGGAGGGGGTGGGGTTGGAAGAGAGGATGGAAACAGAGATGGCTCTTTCTTTTCTCCTGTCTATATCTGAAACGGCGCAGTTTGCTCTCTGGCTTTATTTTGCCATAAATAGGAGTACCTGTGTTTGGACCAGGTACTTTGGCAGTTTGCTATAAACTGCTGCACCGTTTCACTGATGACCTGTGTAGCCTTCAAGGTTGTGGGTGCTATGGATGAACGCAGGGTGGATCATTAACTGAACAGGCAAGGAAAAAATTCTTAATGCTCTTTCCATAGGGAGCATGCCTGTACATGCTGGAGTGATCCTGAACAGTTTTTCTTAATGCTTTTTGTGTATGGGATTATGGAAAGGAGCAGAACTGCAGCCTCTGTAATGGGAATCTCAAGTCTTCACACATCTGGAGGAAACGGAGAAGAAAAAAAAAAATCACTTCTTATTCTGAACTGTCTGGGTTCAACATAATCCTCCTAATTTGGAAGGATATTAATGTCTTAAGTAGGTGGACACAAGGATCAGAAATGTTAATGGCATGGGAAAGACTAATATGGTTCTTCGGTATCAGACATGCTAAGATATGGATGCTTATTCCTGACATCTCATTTTGTACTAATCATTCCGTTGTGCTCTCAGTCTTGTTAATACCCGTTCTGCTTGGGGATTAGTGTGGGTTGGGATCAGCCTGACACTAAATCAGCAGGCAGGATGCCATGAACATCTTGTAAAGGAGCCAGAAGTGGGACTGTGCACAGGTCTCAGTGGAGCTGCTCCTGAGCACCTGTGTGTGCATTTATGAAGGTAGCCCCAATGCTCTCTTAAGAGCTATGCGATTCCTTGGGACCGGGTTTATTAGAGTGCAAGGAGATGTTGTGAGTCAAATAATCCAGCGGTTCATGACACCATTTACCTGAATGTCTCCTTTTTACACCAGAATTGTGTCTGCTCCTCACCCTTGGCTGCTACTTGTAGACATTTTACTAATCTGACATTCAGCTGTCAAAATAAAATGCCCTTTCTTGCTCCTTTTTTTTTTTTTTTGAAAGGCTTTCATCTGAGAACCCACAACCTCTTAAACAAATGTATTTCCACAAGGATGAAGAATCTTTTTGATAATGTTTTTCCTCATCAGGAAGACTGCTTAACTGAAAAGTAAATCTGATTTATGTTTTAAAAACATAAATTAATCCTCAGAAATGTTCTATTTTGCTAATGCTGTGTTCTTTTGTGTCTAGTGCTGACATCCTAGAGGCAGAAGTTGCCTTGTTACATTATAGAGGCCGAATTCTTTCTTTTTTAGCCGTCATAACTTGGTGTTTCTCCAGAGACCACCTCCATTATCTCGGAGCATGAGAATCAAATGCAGATTGAGGTGAGAATATTCCGTGAAGTCTTTGTAACTAAACATGCATGCATTGTGTGTTGCAGAGATGTCCTTGCGCTGCCAATCTTCAAGCAGGAAGAACCGCAGCTGTCTCCTGAGAATGATGCCAAACTGCCTCCCTTTCAGTACGTCCTCTGCACAGCCACGTCACCTGCTGTGAAGCTGCATGAAGAAACCCTGACCTACCTCAACCAAGGTAGGGTTTGTCCTACACTGAAGGAGGGCATATTTCCTGGGAACAATTTGAGAGAGATTGAATCCCTTACTTGTGCCTTACCGGGAGGGAGCGGGACGGGAAAAAGAGTGAAAGAGATGGGGAGGGGGATGGAGGAAAGGAGGAATATTTAATTTTCACATTTATATACTAGATTGTCAACTGATATAGAATAAATAATACCGTTGATTTAACTGTTGACTTCAAGCAGCATTATAGCATCATGCACTCTTCCCTGTAGCCAGGTACTGGCTTGATCTCAAACAATTTAAACTGCAGCCTCCTACCTTCATTTTAAAAGGCCAGAAGAATTAAGCAGATGATTGGCAAACTTTGGGTTGGGGAGGGCTCTTAACATTGCAAGCCTCCAAGGGCTTCTGGAGGGTATTGCCAGAGGATGAGTTAACAAGTATCCAGGGGCTCCTCGGTGGTCTGGGCAGAGTGTGACATTGCTCCCGCTGGCTGGGTGATGTGGTTCAGCTCAGTCCCTCACTTGACAAGTTGCCGTGGTTCGGTGCAGCCAGGTCCTCTACAACTGACCTCATAACACTAATTTTTACTCGTGGCTAAACAAGCACTATATGTTTCTCTAGGCTTTTTTTTTTTTTTCTCCCTCTTTGGCGTAATTTATGCCGACGCATCTGTGGTTGGAGTTTGACTGTCGCTTTGCAGCACCTCCTGCACATGGGTCCCGTAGGGATCAGACTTCTCCAGGCATGGATTATGCTAAAACTTACCATGCTTATTTTCAGCCAGGCTGTAAAGAAGGGCATTAGCCTAGCAACAAGCTGAAGGCTGTCAACCCTATGTTACTGAGATCCTCTCCTGCTTCAGGACACTGCCCCAGCTCTTCAAGCTTTGTGCTCTGAGCATGAAGCTCACTCAGGTGCTGCTCTGGCTACCTTACTCTCAATGTTTGTACAAAGCAGAGCTCTGACCTCCTTTGGGATCTGACCTCAGGTGCATCTGGCTTCTGGATCTGTGGTTGTTAGCTGGTGGACCCATGGAGCCCCCCTAGGAAGGCTGCAGGCTCTTTCTGAGGAGCCAGATGTTTCCTGTCACATAAGCTGGCACTGTGCTGTCTTGCAGATCAAAAGATACTTGAGACTGGTGACTGTCTTGCCAGTTTATCCATCCAAATACAGCAGACCCCAGGAGGTGACACAGGGCATATCAAGGGTGAGATGGAAATGAATCTTCCTGTGAAACACTAAATTCTTTGTTGTTGCAGAGTAAAAGATTTTCTGTTGTGAAAAGCAGTTGACGGCCAAATATTTCAGCATACCTGAGGCAGTGCTTGCTTTTTTACCTTGGCAGGGCAAAAGTTACACAACTCTCCACATGATACCACGAGTTTTAAAAAACTGTGACTAGAGCAGTCCAGGTTTTCTTATGTAAAGTAAGACTGTTAGTGCCTTTGCAGATAGACCCTGTTGTGTTAGGCTTTCTCCTGATTACTATAGCAAGGAGTTGTCTCCTGCTCCGTCTTGACACACCACTGACCTCTTTCCTTGGCAGACCACTGGTTCTTCTATATTTTCTGCATCTGTCTTTCATCCCTCAAGGGGAAAGGTGGGATGTGTCCTTGCAGAATACACCCTGGAGAGCATGAGGCTGGACAGGCCTGGAGAAGCAAAGCACGGATGAGGCTGGCAGGAGCTGTGCAGTGGGGCAGAGTTGGGAAGGGGCTGGGGGAAAAAGTTGGCACTTGTTAGTGCTGTTGGCTTGCCACAGTGGATGGAAACAGCACCTTTTCCTAGAGGGTCTTTGGGGTGGTTAGTGGTAAAAGGTGGTGCATCTCCTGACAGTTGAATGGCTCACTGCTTTTTGTTCCTCTTGGCAGGAGCTTCACATCTGCCTGCCACCTTCTCAGGAGCATCCTCACCTCATTTGTTTAAGCTCCCAATCAATTTGTCTTCCTTCTTACACTGAGATACTCTGGGCTTCTTGAAAAACCTCTTGAAATGCAAGGCTTTCTGTATGTAGATGGATTTTTTTTTTTTTTTTTTTTTTTTTTGAGATCCTGCAATGTATCTACTTTAAAAGCCATTCTGCTCTACTCTAGCAGGTTGCTTCAGAGTCCACGCCATTGGCTGCACTCTTGCTCCCAGGATTGACCCTTTCTGGTAGTAAGGGCAGGTCTTGACTGTAAATTTATCTGACATGCAGTCTACCTTGATACTAAGTCCCTTAGAACAAAATCCCTTGCCTGTGCTATTTAGGAAAAAGGGACTGGAGTCTTCTCCCACGTGGATATGAGCTGCTGTGAGAAGCTTGTGTGGTCATTGAAGGTAACTACAGCTAATGGGAGAAGAGGATGCTGGACACACCTTCCAACCAGCTGTGGTCAGAGCTGGGGAGTCTAATTTCTGTTGGTGGGATATCAGTAAGGACATTGCCTGGGGTTAAAAAGAGATAAGGATTTGTCTTCCAATTCCAGGACGAAGAATCAATTTGAATTGGCAGGTAACCTCCTGTTTCATTTAGAGTTTTCTGTTTAGGAACCTTCTGCATAAAAGGGAGTTTGGTCTTTTTCATGACATCTGTGTCAAAAGCACGTTCCTCATGCGTTGACCTTCTGAAATAAAGAGTAGCAGGTGTGTCTGTTTAAAAGCAAAAAAATTAAAGTGCTTGAGTCAAATTTTCTTCTCCTTTCAGCAACACTTCTCTGTGGGAACTACTTCTGATTCTTGCACTATGTAGTTTCCTAGCAGGTACCTGTTGTGTAGGTGTTTTCCCATCCCTTCTCCAAAACTAGAGGAGAGTGCTGCAACTCTTTACTTTGACCTGCTCAACACAAGCCAAGGACTCCCACGCTGATCTCAATTGTCCTGCCTGAGCTAGAGCTAAGTGCAAGTTAAAGGCTTTTACAGAAAATTAATCCCACTAATAGAATTGTTGTATGAGCCTGAGGAAGTGTGTGAAGGGGACTTCGAGGCAGCCCAGGTCTCTGGAGTTAATACTCATAGTAGGGCAGAAGAGCTGACTGGCACCAGAGCACTGTGACCAAGCTGCAGTGCCATAGCTGTCTCATGAAGCAATTTAGACCGTTCCCTACACCTTATCACCTTACGCTGACTGTAGGCAAGGGACACCTCTTGCCCCTTACCCTTTTTCTGTGCTTATCATGGTCTGGCCAAACACTGTTACACAAAACTTCCCTTCTTCCTTGTATGCTTGAGTTTTGTGATGGATTACTTTAGCAAATGGGTAACTTCATTAATGGATGTCCTTCCACCCTGTCTGTGCTGGAGCGAGCTTCAGTCATAGCTGGCTCCCGGTAAGGCAGATACAAAGACACGGTGCCTGTCCCAGCTCCAACAAAGGAATTCACATCCAGTGTGGTTACTTAACCAAATTGTGAGGACTGAGTTTAGGGTTTTGTGCTTGCTGGGTGACTCTTACCACTTGCTGTCCAAATGTTCCTTCCTGACTCAAGCTCTTCTCCGCTCAGTAACTGACCCTTTGTTGCTGTGAAGCAGATCTGCTCCCTGCCCTGAAACACTTACTCCACATGGGACTGGTTCAAAGGTAGTTGGTGAGTGGACCAGCTCAGGAGGTAGTCTATGCGCAGAACTGGATAGAATAAAGGTCAGTGTGACAGAGCTATGGAGTGGGGAAAGCTGGAAGAACTGGGTAGCAAATTGAAGGCCAAGTTGCATAGCAGAGATAGAAGAGGAACCAAAGGAGAGATTCAGGTAAGACCTGAAAGGGTTTCATACAGGCTGGGAAGAAGGGCTGTCCAGTGGCTGTGTTTGTATACAAACAGGAGAGGGATGGGAGAAGGTTCCAGGCTTGTGGAGCGTAATGACTTCTCATGAGCCTTGCTTCTTGCTGGAGAGACCCAGAGAGATGGTCGATGGCATTGAGGAGGAAGAGGTCTTTGGCCTGGGCTCTCCCCAAGGATGAAGGAGGAAGGTGAGAGGACCCCTGAGCTGGAGACCAGTGTTTTCGGTAAGGGCAGGGGAAGCATTTGTGAGGGAGAACAAGGGAGTGAGCTTAGCTGTTGTGTTAAGTTGACTTGGGGACATTCAGCAGTGGCAGATTCCCGAGCTCGTCCGCTCCAGTTTGAAACTGTGAGTGCTTGCTGGCCGCAGCTCTAGAACCAGCCTGTAAATGAAGTAACTAGAGTCAAATCCTTAGCTTGGTTTCCAAAGACTGACTCATTACACTTGTCCTTCCCGATCTCTTCCCCCCCTGCCTTCCCACATTCCTTGGGAAACTGGAGCCAGAGCCCTGTTAGCCCAAATTGAACATCATCTTAGTTTGCTAATCATTAGGGCAGTTCCTATGTTAAGAGATCTTTACTGGACTTCAGGAGAATTACTCATCCGACAGGACAAAGTATAGACTTGTTAGTATGGTGTCTTAACACCGCTCCACCTCAGTCCACAAAACTGGTAAAGGTGCTGTGTCCTCACATTAGGAGCTGCTGCTGGCACCGCTCCTTTGGTCAGGGATCGCATCTGTCAACAGAGCTACACTGTCCAGAAGTCTGCAGCACAAACATCGCCTAACGTTTTTGGAACTAGCCCTCCTTTTAGCACTATTTCAGTGTCTCTTGTGGATAGGGATTTTCAGACAAACAATCAACCAGCAACCATATTACAAACCGCTGCTTTAGCAAGAGGGATTGATGCAGTTGCATATTCCATGGTCTGCAGTCATATGGGGTGTGGTTTGACCATGGCTGGTTGAAACTAGTTTTAAACACGGACAGAAATGGGAGCAATGGAGGTGGTTCCAGAAATTGCACCAGGAGGAATGCAGAGGAAACAAGCACTGTACAGTAGATCTGAATGCTAATAAATGTGAGGAAATAAAATCATGCCTTCAAAAAACAAAATGAAAAGCCAAAAACCTGAAAGTCATTGCCCAAGGGAATTAGCTTGTAGTGCCAGAACCACATGTGGACTGTGAGCAATTCAAGTAATGATTCTGTTTCATGACCAGCATTGATGTTGGCTGAGAGCCTCAGATCT